ATAAGCAATCATGAAGAAGGTGGATGGGTAACTGCACAAAATTCATTTAATGGGTTACTCTGTGCATGCGTGGGGTGTGCGTGTTGGAAGGGGGTCAAGGCAGGTGGGTCGACAAAAGTTCTAAATTGAATTGGGGTAACGGTGGACTAACAATTTTTTGTCACTACCAACCACATGTCCTTCCTTTTAGCCATCTTCTACTTAAATTTGAACAATAAGAAATATAATCAAACAGCTATCCAAGTTAACAAAAAATCTTAAACAAAACTCTCACTAAAAGCAAGAAAATAGCTGACATCACACCAAGGCAAACTGATATAGCTTGCTCCAAGAGCGAAATTTCCAATCCATCCATTTTGTTTCAGCTGTGGAAGTATTTGCAACATAGTCAGATCCTAAGCATTCTCCGGAAACATCAAACAAGAGTGTTTTTTTGGATGGGATGAATGGAAAATACCTTTAAAGGTGGAGCTGAGTATATGTATGAAAGCAAGGATCCACCCAGAGCAAGATAAAATAGAGTAGGGGAGTCATGTCCTGCCTATCAAGGAGGATTAGATAGGTGTTTGTAATTTCCATGTACATTACAAAACACACAAAAACCAGAATTACCTACCCACACATCTAATAAACCTGCTAAGCCAAGGCCTGCTAAAAGTAGAACCCAGATTTGGGTAATAACCTGCATGAAATTTTGAAAGAACAGTAAAATGAGATCAGCACTCATAAATACATAAAAGTTAGCTACATTACACACCTCAATCTCAGATATTGCTCCTGAAGGAATAGGACGATAAGGCTCATTAATTGCATCAATCTCTCTATCATACCAGTCATTGAGGGTCTGCACGAGCAAAATATCCAAACAAGCTTATATTAATTGAGCTGTAGCTCTCATACATGTAAAACCACAGAAGAAGGAATTTTAATGTGCGAGAATGGAACCTGAGTATAGCCTGTGAGACATGGACCAGACATCATCATGCAAATAATTGACTTGGCAACATCCTCCAAATTCCAGTGGAAGTTTCCTACAACATAAACTCTACTCTCAGTTGATTGGGTTTTTAGGAATTTGGTCATTTTTTATTCCTTGAAAATCTCCAAAGGGGTATGTACAAGTTGATTGAGCTTAGTTTCCCTTTTAAATGCTAAAGCAGATTGACTTTAGGTTTAGGAACACAAAAACTACTCATCAATAAAAATAGAATGGGTTCTTCAGTTACTGAGGCTGCCAAAAGTTAACATCCACCTGTCCCTACCTAGCATATTGCTTTCTATTAATACAAACATATATGAATTTAAGAGTCTACCTCCAATCCTTGTAAAGAGACTTCCTAATTATCTGGGGTATGTACTTAAACCAGAAGGCTGGACATAAGAAGGCAACACTAAAGATCTAAAGGTTACTTTTCAAGTGATTTTCAACTGTAACTTATCAGCATACTGTTTTGAGTCTTCTCTAAAACAAGAGAGAAGAGCAAGAAGAAGACAGCTAGGCCATTTTGGGTAGTACATTTTTCCAACAGTGGGAATAAACAGGAATTTGTCAGCGAGAGAAGGGAGATTGAAAAGAAACATTATTGGGAAAAGGAAACTTCGATGTAGAATATCAAACAAAATATGACATCTATAGAAGAAACATGAAGAGATTTTACATCAGCAGATGCTCTATGCTCAGAAAGTACCAGAAGCAGCAGCTCCACAGACTACTCCCCATACCAGTGGAGGCCAGGTGACAGGCTTTGTGAGTTGAAGACGAATCTTCCATTTATTCTGCATCATGCAAATTACAAAATCAACTTAGCTTAACCAATGATTGGCATCTATCGCATCATCCTCTTAATAAAAAAAGACAGTAATAAATGGAAAAACAGTATTTGGTTAGAAAGCAAAAATTGTATGCCAATTTTAACCAAATTATCACACCATATTATAAGTAGTTAAAAATCCAAGAGCTTCAAATATCCAGTGACAAATAGAATGGAAGTCAGCACTCAAAGACTAATTTAGAACAGCAATATTACCAATTAAAATTCCTAGGGGCAGAGATATAGAAAAAAGTCAAAAAATATATAGAAAGTGAGGAGTAGTGCTCACATTTTCTTGAGCAGCTCCCTTGATGCCAAGAAGCTGGTTAATGCTAGATCCGCCACCAGCAGCAGGTGCCTTATCCGGAACCTTAGATTCAACTGCACAATTAGCCACCATAAATATATATTCTAAAGAATAGAAAAGAAAAATAAAACAACAACTTCTACATTGCATTTCAAAATCAGAACAAAAATCAAAATCAAAAGCACAAAAATAATAAAACTCAAAAAACCTTTATCTGTATCTGTCTCCGCCGCCCTAATCGTCAGTCTACGCCCTGAGAAAACAGAGAATCCGCACAGTAATTCAAGTTAAGGAAGCTCAAAATCTGAAATACAGAGCGCGCTAGTTTGCCAAAGGAGAATATAAGCAAAGCGAACTAGAACAAATACAAACGAGTAAGAGAAGAGAATTGTTGACTCACGGGGAAAAGAAGCAGAAACGCCGAGAGGTGAAGCGGAATGCGTCCGAACTCGGTAGGTACTGTTGCCGGCGTAGACACCGGGTAAGGATAATCTTAAGGATAAGACAGTATTCAGCACGGGCGACATTGAAGAGAGTCAGCTGAGCTTCTTTCTCCTCTTCCTTCTAATTTTTGGTTTTTCCTTCGTCGGAGGCAGAAGAGGAGAGGAGGGAAGCGAGTGGACGTTTCTGCTGTTTCGGTGTAGTGATAACTTTCTTACCTGTACCAGTACTATTCGAAAGAGTAGTAGTAAGGTGCGAACGAAACCACGCAATTAATTGGGCGCCAGTTGCTTGATGGCCCGTTTATTGGACCATTTTATTTTATTTTATTATTTTATTTTATTTGTATAATAAAAAATAATTACTTCTTATATTTTATCTCATTTAACTCGTATACTATACTACTCAAAATTAAAAATTCTTATTTATTGGGCCATTTTACTAGGAGTAGTGATTGACTAAAATTTTGGAGCAATCGCATGGCATAATTTTTCTCTTTTGAACGGAAGAAACTAACACATGTTAAGGAAGTGGAGATTGAGCAAAGTAATTTGTGAGATTTAAACATGTGGTCCATAAAAAAAAGGTGGTGATTAATATTAATTTAGAATTTAAACCATTAGACTATAGTGTAGGGATCACACATGGCATAATTTATGTCATTACTGATTTCATGCGTACAATGTTACAAAAAAAGAAAAAGAAAATTAAAAATTAATTATTAAATAATATATTATTTATTTGTTAATATTTTAAATCATGTGTGTTTTTGGTATCAAATTTTGATTCAAGATTTTTATACCTTTCACCATTATTCTTTTATTAGGATTAACACTGTATTATTCTTTTTTAAAAAAAATTAAAATGGGCAAATCCCCTATTTGCTCCATTAATATTATTATTTTTAATAGTTAATACTTTTAAAATTTTTACTTTTGATTAATATTTTTCATAATTAGAAATTTGGATTAACAACTATGTCACATATAAATTAAGGTGCAAACAAAAAGATTGGTTACTAAAATTTGAATTTTTTTACAAATTTCTAATTTTAAAAAATGTTAATTAAAAATAAAAATTTTAAAGGATATCAATTGCTAAAAACAATAATATTGAGAGTGCTTTTAAATAGGTTATTTTTTAACCGACATTGATGGACAACAAATCTAGCTTTTAGCGACTTTTTTGACTTAGAGATTAATTGGTAGTTGCACTCAATATATATTTTACTATTAGCCAAGCAGCTGAGGTTTGATATGCAATGTTAAAAATTTGGACAATGATTGACTTCCCCTCTGCCGTTACACATCTATCCACACCTTAACGGAATCCGTCAAGTATATTAACGTCTCCGTTACACACTTAATGCCTAAACTTCTCCATCTTCTTCAAATCTAGAGAGTGCTGGGTTTCTTAATCTTGCTGCCATTAATGGAAGAAGCAAACATCCAACCAAAAAAAGTGTCCGACGTTGCCTGTTGCTGCCAACATTCCATCTTTTTTGGAGCACCCATTAGACATTTTCAACAACGCACAAAGAATTCAAAAGAAATTTCCAGCA